ACAGGAAACACGGAACCACGGTTCACCGATGATCACTCGAGTGGGAACCCTAACCCACCGTGATTCAAGGATTTCCATTCAAACGCCCACGTTACTATAGTGTTCTTAGATGATCATTATCTCCATGGACATCTCTGTGCACGGGAGCTTTCAAGGCGCCCTGGCCACCCATATATTTGGCATGATGAGTGAATTATGGGCAGAGACAGCTGTGGTCCAGGAGCTTATTCACCATATTTGCATCATTTCAGATAGGCTAGCAACTCACAGCTCAGGTCAGGCTCAATACCAAGAAACCTCATGACGGGGGCCAGGAGTTAACGTACATAAGACCACAACAGTGATCATCGGCACTACCCCAGTGCCCCGAATACCGGGGAATGCGCTACGATCCACACCCTGCGACCGTGGTTGCATCCTCCGAGACGTTACTCATTCCCTATTAGCACACCGGTGTTCTGGCTTACGACAGGAAGGGGAGGGGGAAACCGCACCCAGGCTGGTCACCGGTATTCGGCGCGTTTGTGGGAAACGACTGTCGGGTGTACTGGATGACGCGAGCTTCAAGATATCACCACTGGTCCACCCTCTTGGCCTAAAGAGCTTATTCTCTGCTCGAGCAGTCTAACCTCCAAGAGTTTTATGCAGGAGACGCATCCACTTTGTTGCTCGGCGCGTCGGAGTCCAGCTGGCCATGGATATTTCAGGCGGAGCATCGACATTCCATGGTTCCCTTCGGAGGAACAGCTGATGGTGCACGGGGTATCACTCGAATGGGACACGGTGAGCGGGGTATTGGGTGGCCCTTGCTTTATCGAAAGGCATCCCGGGGACAGTGTCCCTCAGGGGTCGTACGGGGGAATTTTTGAAGGGGTGAATGGACGATCTGTGTATTGGTTTGGGCGTCGGACGATATGGCTGCCACACTTTTGGCAGATGAAGAACACCTATCTTATGGGGATTTTCTATCTTCCCCCCCCCCTCCGAGCACTGACGCGGTAAGCGAAAGATTTCTACGGACCTTAAGAATTTCCTGCGAGCTGCAGAAACCATATCCAAACCCCTTGAAGGGTAATTCGGCACAATGACGGGAGGATATTATAGAAGGTTCCGGTAAGAGCGCCTCAGGCAGTGCGGAAGTATCCGGGGTAGAGAGGAAAGAAAATCAGCCCACGACCACGTTTTAGGGTTTAAACTTCCATGCTGGGTTATAGAGGGTTGATATTATTTGTGCTTCTTTTTTAATTTCCCCCCCCCCCCCTCGAGGAAGGGGAAAGAATTGGAAAGAAGAAGCGTACGGTACAGGGGATGGTCAGGATCTTTTTTACTTTTTCCCCCCCAATAATGCCGTCTGCCATCAACTGGATCAAGGATCGGTATGCGGCTAGCCGCGACATGGAAAGTTGCAGTGAAGTGCCAGTGCTTGGCAGGCTGGGACATACTCGTACTCGAGTACTCGAGTACATTGCCGGTAAGCTAGGGTACATGAAGCATCGGGGTGTGCGGAAGTGGTTAGTCGTTTAGCATCGGAGACGCGACATGTTACACGATAAGACGGAAATGGAAAGGTAGACGTTCGATTATACTGCTACTGGTATTTCGTTTTTCCCACAGCGATACCGGAGGTGCCAATAACGAGCCAGGGTACTCTAGGGCGGGTTGGAGCCCCCCCGATAACTCCCTTTGATACATGAATGGGTTATCGTTGCTATCACACCGAGTATGAAACTCGGATATAAAGTTGCAAAGCTGATCTTACCACCGTGGGGTGAGGAATACTGGTCAGCACGGCGGTCATCATACCCTTCCAACACCTAACCGCTCTAACGGTGTGTTGGCCAGCAAAAAATTCCGACATTGGACCGCCTTGGCTCTCCAAGGAGCTCCCTACCCGAGCACGGCTGGGCATATGGTCCTAAGGAGTTGGGAGTTAGGCAGCGGGGTTGGGAAGGGAAGGGATTGTAGCGGTACCGCTACTGTACTCGTACTCGAGTACCGTACTGGCACCGAAGCGCAGAGTCAGACAAAGAGCGGAGGAGAGGCCTTCGCTACATGGAGAAGAGCGTCAACACCCCGCTTTCGAGAACCAGAAATCCAGTGGGACACGGCAGGGGATGCACTGCCTCACTGGCATTCTTGGCTTGCGTCTGCGACCGCCGTAAAGTATTGGCTTGGGCCAAGAGGGCCAAGATAGGGCCAAGATATGTGGGCCAAGAGGGAGTGTTACAGCATGTGCCGGAGAAAGGGCATTCAGCAGCGGGAGGAAGCGGAAACGAGGACTTGGACAGCTGTCGGGTCGTGTTAACGTGGTGAATGGTTCCGGGCGCTTGGGTGCTGGAGGTCGATGGGAGGGTGGAAAACTTTTTTTTTGAGTGAGGGAGGATCGATGTATTGAAGTAAATAAATTGGGATGTCGCGATGGGGAGGAGGGAGATAGATATGCCGGGATGAATGGTTTCCGCTTTACGGTTGTGCAACTAAAGAGGAGTTACCGGATCTCAGTATCGGGGTTGTGATAAGGTGAAGTCTGGTTTTTCTCTGGTACAAGTAGAAGCTGACAGGATAACCCCTGCTGGGATTGCGGCTGTGATACAAACAGAGCGCCTTCAACCATACCGGTATGCAAGAAGTGTAAGCAATGGTGTGGGAGAGGGCGCGCAGTGTCGGGCGCACAGCTTTTGCTCGGATGTGCTGCGCCTTGGGAGAGGATCCAAACTGGGGGGGGGGGGGTCCGTGAAGTCAGGAGTTTTGTCGGCGAAAATAGGGCAACAGTACTAGTACTCGTACACTACTCGAGTAGATATAGTTACTCGCGTAAACCGTAGCAGAAGCGTGGATGAATCATGCATGGCACTCGCACCATGCCGGCAGGCGCTCATACGGTGCTGGGCAATGATAGTGGGGAATTCAGGGTGGTAACACGCAAGTTTACTCACGGAGGCCTTTCATTCGTTCCTACACGGGGAAAACAAATACGCGGAGCAAACCGCTGCGCTTGTAGAGTAGGGTACTAGTACGAGCACCGAGACGCGAGATCCTTCGCCATAGGGGCGGGAGTCGAAACATGCCTGTTCTTGGGCTGTTACGGTGCGGGCGTTGTAAAGGTACCGTACTCGAGTACCATACGGTATGATACTCCATCGGCTCGGTATGGGCAACCACCCTCTCCGTGTTGTATGGATTGGCGATGGGTGTCTGTGTTCTGCGCCACGGGAAAGCAGTAACGACTGTGAGGCAAGCTTTAGTCTGGCAGCATTCGCTCTGAGCACTGGTTGGAGGTTGTGCTGATGCAAGGTTTGTTTGTTTGTTTGCTTGATGGTTGGGAGGTTATAGGGGAGGGAAGTAGGAGAGAAACGTACGATAGGTGCTGCATATGCCACTGGACACCTGAAATCAACACCCAGGAGGAGCTTATTTCGCTTACATAATACAGACAAAAAAAAGTGGGTATCGTATGATACTGGAAAAATTATCCGCTAAGAAGCCGGTATATGGGGAATTTTGCCCCTACGGATTGCGCTCTTATTTGGGGCTGGAAAACGTAGACCTGGAGAGAGGTGCCTCCCGGGCAGCTGGATCGGGTCATATCTTCCTGGAGATGTGGTTGTGGTTTGAAGTTTTCCGGGATCATTCTTGTGTTGGTTATTGGTCGGTTTCAAGTGTGAGGCACCCAGACTATCCTTGTGGTGAGCGGGCTTGAAGGAACAGAAAGCGGGTAGGGCACGGGGGAGCAGAAGCCGAGAGCACATGAGTAGAGAATCGAGGCTCTCACTGACCGTATCCCATCAGAATTTGGCCCGGCCGCGGTCATGGGGAAGTTGGGAACGGGCCTTTCCTTCTTTCCTCTCCATCTACCGTGTTCGCAGGTTATTTCCTTAGGAATTGGATATTCGTGATCGGGAGTGGGAATGTGGGAGTTACTTTGGAGTGTGTATAACAGGGCTCCAATCAGCCAGCGGTGGTGAGGGAGATGGAGTCCACAGATACTCTTACAGTATGATACGATACGGTAGTGCCTTTTATGGTGGTACGGTAGTCGGAGATGTGCACACACACAATGTTTCCATTCGCAATTCCTCTCCCTCTCCGCTCTCTCTTCCCCTCCGCCATGCCATCCGGAATGAAAAAGGAAAAAAAGGAAGAAAAAAAGGAAAAAGGTTTATCTGTTTGTTTCAAACTGTGAATGAAGGTCCCTTTTTCTTTTTCTTTCTTTTCCCTTCTCCCTGATTGGCTTGCCCCCGATCTCACGACTCCTCCGATCGCCTTGCGTTTAATACGATACATGAACGAGAGAGGGAGGATGGTTCGTTAAAGCGGTTTAAAAAGTACCGGAGCCGTAGTGTTATGATATTACGGTATGGGGGTGAAGTGAGGTGAGGTGAGGGAGTGACAGAGTGATCGACGGACTGGGTGACTGAGTGACGAAGCCTTCTTAATTCACTTTTTTTCCTTCCTCATCAACCATCTCTCTTCCTTTCCTCTCTCCCTATCACAACAATCACCTCCTCCTCCCACCCTGCCCACCGTGCTATCCTCCCCCCCCCCATTTCACGACCTTAGGGAAAACCTTACCTCTTTGCTTTTGATCATCTCCCCCTGCACACCTTTTCCCTCCCTCACAAGTCCACTCTCTTGCGTCCGCTAGCATCCATCACTCACTTTTACGCTATCCGCTTCAGGACAACGCCCCCTGGGCCAGCCAATAAGGCCCGAACTCCAGACCCCAGCGTACAGTACATTCCCACCCGCTGCACTGCACCGCACGAGTACCGGTACAGTACTTTTAGCCCCCCCCCCCTCCCCACCACCGCAACAACAACAATCACGCATTTCCACCCTTGAAGTCATCTCGGGCAGAATTGTGCCACCACCCTCACCCGGCTGCATCGACTATTTCTTGCTTCTTTACCTCTCCCATCTCAACAAACACTCAATCCTTTTGAAAGTTTTAACGCCGCTCAGGGACACGCTCCCTTAGCACGCAACCGTCAAAACTGACCATGTCTCTTGAAGCCGCTCTGGAAGAGGAGCGTCTCGAAATACTGAAGCTCCTCGAGAAGCCTGCCGGTAAATCATCGCATCAACATCCTACAGGTGCCCATTCTACTCCTTCGTCGCCTCGTCTTCATTTCGCCCCGCTTCTCCCCCCGCTAAATAGCCGAACCTCTTCCCCTAGCCGCGCTCCCGTCCATTCCCTCATAGCCGCCGCACAGGATCCTCCTTCCGGCCGATCCTCAACCGACTCGGTGGGAGCACCAGGTCAACGAAGCTCGACCGGACATCCTGCCTGGCCCAACTCCAATGGCACACCTCATCGAAATTCCCTGCCCTCCATGAATGGTGCTCCTAGATTGCTACGGGATCGCGATAAGCCTGGAAACCCTGGAAACCTCACCCCCAATGATGCCTTCAATTTTGCCGTCCTCCCCTCGGCTCCCCCACCCGTCCCGAAGCGAGCCACTCAGGCTTGGAATGACCCTGCCCCGCCCTCTTCGCTCCATGGCGGCCTCGCTCTTCCGGGGAGGCGGTCGCTTTCACCGGCTTCGAACGCGGCATTACGTCATATGCAGAGATCTCCGTCCCCGCGACCCACTTCTGGGCGACTGGCCTCTCCTCCCCCCGTTGTCCGCAACCAGATATCTAACCAAATAACCAACGATGCCGGCGTTCCAGTTGACTTGGAGCATGCCTATGCCAAGCTCTCGGACGACGCGCTCGCGAGATCGGGGGGTGTTTTGGGAATGTTGCCGGAGCGTAGACCGGTTACGACTTTTGGAGGGGGACATGTCCGCGCTGGCACTGGGGAGTCGTTGACGAGCGAAGGGGGCGTGAGGTTGCAGAAGGACTACGATGATGTCGATGAACGTGCGGTGATTGATTCCTCCGATGAAGACGAGACTAGTAGTGCCGAGGAAAGCGTTGGATCGAATTCACCTGTGAGCGAGGAAGAGGAGAGGAGGGGGAGGGCTGCTGCGCGGGGAAACGATTCTGGGCCTAGCGGTGAAGATGGCGCTATGGGAAAGGAGGAGACGGTAGGGAAAGGCTCGGGTGTGATCAGGAGTATGATCAGGATTGTGGGTGATTCCGGTGGAGGCGGAAATAAAAAGAAGAAGAAGGGCGGCGGAATAGACGCCAAGAAGGGTACGGTTAATATGCGGAGGACAAGCATGAGCTTACTGGCTGCCGCGGAGGAAGAGCGTATGTGTCCCTTTCCGTATTTCGGGGGGTGGTTCTGACTTCTTTGATAGGGAAGGCTGTGAGTGCTAGGTATAGTGTTCGCTCCCTCCTGCCCTCGATATCGGTCACACCGTCGGGTGGCACCCCTGGAGCGGCATCCCCTACAGCAAATAGACGATCGGGTGTGCATCCTTCTACAAATTTCGACCTACCGTCGCATAATTCTACTCCAATGTCCTCCGACACAGAAGCGGATGTCCGCGATTTGCACCGCGCTCAACAGATGGAGATGAGCATCTCTCCTATTATTTCTACGCCGGAGACTCAACGTGTTGTCAGGACAATTCTGCGCGGGGAATATGATTCGATAGTCAAGGAGGCGGAGGAGAGCAATAAGCGGGTGCGCAGCTATCTTGTTGCCACGGATTTGAGCGGCGAGGCTCAACATGCCCTGGAGTGGACTATTGGGACAGTTCTTAGAGACGGTGATACTTTGATGGCCATATACGCCATCGATCAGGATACGGTGGAGGATGGTGGCAAGATTGTTTCGGATGACGGGATGCCGGGAGAATTGAGCAGCCAAGCTGCTGCCGTGGGGACCAGCCTTTCGGCGATGAGCATGCCTCATACACCCGGGACAGCGTCTCCATTATCCAACATTGCCATTGGGGATATTTCGGAGAGGAGCAGGGAGCGCACAAAGGCTGAGCGGGAGCGGTATATTGCCGCAGAGGCGGTCACTAGGCTGGTGGAAAAGCTTTTGAAGAGGACGAGGCTGCAAGTCCGGGTCACTGTAGAGGTGATTCACTGCAAGAGCCCGAAGCATCTCCTCACCGAAATCGTGAGTTTGTAATCTCTTTTTTGACGTACGATTGTCTGACTAACGTGGCTTAGATCGACTTCATGGAGCCGACTCTAGTAGTCCTTGGTTCCCGTGGAAGAAGCGCACTAAAGGGGTAGGTGCTCTGGATTACACTCCATCCGCGCTGCTAGCACTGGCTCATAAGCTAACCTGTTATTTAGCGTCCTTCTGGGATCCTTCTCGAATTATCTGGTCACTAAATCCTCGGTCCCTGTCATGGTTGCCCGGAAAAAACTGAAGCATACCAAAAAGTTTGCCAAAACCAACGTTCGGCAACCCAATAATCTCACGACAAGCACTCAGACTGGCCGCCTCGCCGGCGCAAAAGTGGACTAACTAATATAACCAACTCGTTGGAGGGGTGATGGTGGGGGTCCTGGTTGGGAACATGGCGTATTTCCAATGAGGGTTTTTTTTCTTTCTTTTCCTTCCCTTTTTTTCTTTTTGGCTCCATGTCGATCATCATCACTATAGAGGATAAGTCATAGGCTCTCACTCGTGTAAATAAAATTATGCTATTAACTGTATTAATGACTACTCTCTCATCCCTTTTTGTTCAACCGAATCCTTGGATGTGCTGTGTCCTACCCCCATTTCGCTTCCGCCTCCGGAAGGCATTCTGCCCATGGGATATCATCAGTGCCCGAGCTGTCGTCGGAGTGGTTCGTGTAGTCTATCGGGTCCGTAGGTGACTTTTGGGCACTCTTCGGGAGGCGGTGCGGGCGTGGGCGCGGGTGTGTGGCCGAGGTGGGGCTGCGCGAGGAGGTTTCGGAGGAGAGTCGCTAGGCGGATGCAGGGGGACATGGTTGGAGTGTTTTGGGCGGTTGGGGGCGGTGGGTAAAGTAGGAGAAGGAAGCGGTAGTGGCTGTGCCAAGTGGACGGAGAGAAAGAAGTCTGCGAGTGATCGGGTGCTGGTGAATAGTTGGCGCTTTGAAGGGGTGGTTGTTGGTGGGGGCACGAGACTAGGATGGTCAGTGCTCGTACGGTTGGGAATACTGCCTATCTTTAAGCTTCATTTGCTCATCTACTCCAGGTCGGCAGGGGCTGGGCAATTGTTTCGCTTCCGCCATGGTGGTGGCGGGCTTTCGGATGGCGAGCAATTCCGGTGAGTGGCTATGCGTGCATCTGACATGATATGGGACTTGCAGACATTTTGTCTGTATATCACACTTCTACGCTTGTTTCCCTATCCTTTTGCTACCACCTCACCTATATGGGGAAACGTGTCATCAAACAAAACAAGTAAGAGTGGCCTCGGAAATATCTCACCTGTGGCCACAATCCGTTGAAGGGCAACCGGGGGGCGAACTGGCCATAATATCGTTCATCAATGGGATCATGGATCCAGCAATACCCCTCTCACCTCTCCACAGAAGGTGGCCTAGCACTTGACAACCCCCCTCCCAGAGCACCGTAGAAAGGAGGATTTAGCTAGTTCGGAGCAAAGGCCCCTAGGGTAACAAGAGAGGAATCACTTCCTGGGCTTAGCCCAACCGTTTTCTAGGGATTTAGCATGAGTTTGGTGAAGGTTGATCATTATCTCATATCTCCCGATCACACTACTAATCCCAAATAGTCTCCTGACAATGCCTTTGATTCGTCCTTCCTACCCTCTTGCAGCATCAAATCTTTGTGCTCTTTTCTCGAATCCATCTTGGCAAATAGCCCAAGTCTTTTATTTCATATTCCACCTATAATACCTGTTCCAGTACTATTTGTTGCTTTTTGAAGGCTTTCCCGGGACAAGGAATATTCTAGGCGGGTATAACCACCTAGGAGAGAAGAAAAATACGGTACTCGTACTTCGGGTATCTTGACCAAACTCCTTACAGAGAGTGTGTGGGCCTAGCAATCCTTGCGCAGAACCAGCTAAATCCCCCTAAAGAAGGCAGACGATCCCTTACCTCATGGCCCCATGGAAGCTATCCCAAAAGAGGTGCCAATTCTTGGGTCGGAGACGCGTGTAGGGGGATTTAGCAGGTTGGGCACATTGGTTGATACCGTAGGTCAGGAAACCCTCACTAAAGTCTAGTGAAGATACCCGAGCACTTTTGCTTCTTGTCTAGGCAGGTATATGCCCACCTAGACCATGTGTTGTCCACGAATATTATGCTTCTTGGACGACAACAAATAATCCTGTGATAGGCATCTGAAATGGAATATAAGGCCAAGAACCTAGACTATTTGTTGAAGTAGAATTGGCAAAAGGTATGCGGTATTGACCTTGCTAGATGACTAATCTGGGTAGCTGGTATCTACTCGGCAGCAAGTTATGATATTTGATAACAAGTCTGGTTCTGGGGCGGGCTCGTCGGGCATCATTCCTGGGTTGAAAACACAGTGCTAGTTCACCAACTGACACCAAGGGGAAATTCGGTATTTGGAGTCGTGCTAAACATAATAATTTGAGAAGGGAGAAGGGTTCCTACCTAGGTGGCGCAGGCTCCACAAAATACCTCTAAGTTGGAGTTAGGGTACTAGTAGTAGGGGAGGTCGATCACAAATGTGTTCTTCATCAAAGGAGTAAATCATTACTTTCCCGTTTGGGTTTAGGGGGGGAGATTGGTGGATGGTTGGGGGGTTTCATGGTGTATAACCAACTAAACCACGAAACCGGACATCTATCTTGGCCTTGAGCACGTTTATTTCATATCAACCGGCTAGGCGTACTGTACGTAACTTAAGTTGTGCTAATGGAGGCTTTGCCAAAAGACTCTGGATGTGAGGCAATTGCGACTCTGGAACAACCAAATCTCTAGAATTTGACTCTGGATGCGAAATCGCAAAGTCCCTAACTGCTGAAGCAATCAGTCTATGTGCCGTACATTCCAATAGCGGGAATACCCGTAAGCTAGATCAGGCTAGGGTTGAGGGTTTAGTGCTTATATAAGCCTTGATCCCCTGTTGCCACCCAAAGCTTGTCTACTTGTACCGGTACTCGTATGTTTGCTTTTCTCTGTTGCCTCCTTGCATCCGATCCACCAGATCCTCGACTTCCGTGTCAATACAAAGCATTCCATTCTCTTCTTTTTTCCTTCCGTAAATGCATGTCTTCCTTTCTCCCCCATCCCCAGTTAGAACGACATCATTGACAGACCAAGATAGCCAAACATGTCGTCTGCTGATCGTTCCGTATGGCGCAATACTTTCATTTACGCTTCCAACGATCGTGGTACCATGCTCGGAGGCCTCTGGGCCACACCAGGTATTACAAACCGCAATCTCTATGCCATGCTGGAGATTTTCTGTTTGTTTGGCAACACTTTCGAGCTACACGACGAGGACGGACAGTTGGTTGAAAGGGATGAGGCACAGCTTCAACCGGGCAATTACTATATTGTCACTCAGGGTGGCTTTCTTCTGTGCTTTCCATCTTTAGCCGCTACTCACTGTGAATAGGTACCATTACTCTCACTAACGAGGTACCGCTACTTCGTTTAAATTCGTTGCAGTCCGGAACCCGTGTTGCCGCGTTTCGTGATGAAATACGTGCGCGAGATGGACGCTGCATTTTAAGCGGTTACCGACCAATGCCAGGCAGGTGGATAAACGTGGAATCCGCTCACATCTTTCCCCTGGCATACGAGGGGTACTGGAACGATCACAACTACGGCCGTTGGATTACCATTCCGCCCGCCAATGAATCCCACGGATTGATCAACTCTGTACAGAATGGGATCTTGCTCACCCGGGAGATGCATCATTTTTTTGATTTATATCATTTGACAATTAATCCCGATGTATGGATGGCTAGATATTCAAGTCTTCGTAGCTAATGATTCTGTAGGATAACTACAAGATCATCTCCTTCGCACCTGAAGCTCTTCACTATAACATCCCTCACCGACTTGATCAGACGTTCCTCGATAATCCACGCCGACCGGTCGATCAGCTTCTCCGCTGGCATTTTCGCCAGGCAGTGCTCACGAATATGAAGGGAGTTGGGGAGCCTTGTTTTGAGCACGATTTCCCGCCTGGCACGGACATAATGGGTGAGATCATGAGCGGTCCAAAGGCTGGAGAGAGGATGGAGTTCGAGCTGTTTAGCCGCTTTAATGCAGCGGGGGGTTCACACCTGGTGGAGTCTACCTAGAGCACTACTAGCACAATATTCAATAAAACTGGGTTTACCAGCGGTGTTCGCTCATAAATTCACCAGAAACCAAGTGAGCCCGGGGGTGTGATGTTAAACAAGACGAGGAACCAAAACACTTCGTTCCAAGTACTACCATGGGCGGACCCTCCTCGCAGCCCTCCTTCCAAACATAAATCCATAAATTACTACCACCGGGCTCACGGGTGTTCACTGCGACTACCATCCCGGATGAATGCATCTTCCCATCTTGTTCCACACCGTAAAACCTTGAATAATTGGATGGTGTGCTGTGTCGTTTGGCTTTCCTCTCTCAGCGAGGTCAAGAAACTTTTGTTCTTTTTCCGGTCTCGGAGGGATGAAAAGGGCTGTGTTTTTGCTGTGTTTTCTCCCTATTTCCAGAGAAGGAAATTCCGGGAGGGAGACTACATGTACTCGTGTACAACGCATAATTATTCAAGCTTACGGTAGTCCACCAAGCCCTTTGAGATAAGAAAACGCTGCTATCGCATTTAAACAAGATGGATTGTAGAGGGTGTTTTGAGCATTCGAAACCTAACTGTAGAGACAATGAACAGGGGACACATAAGGTCTTATATTGCAAAGAGCAATACCTGAGTAATATTATGCACATATACCAGTAGCCCCACAGGGAGGAGACCGGTAGGACGGGAAAGTTGGCGGGGTTGGGATTCGCCGACTAGGGTTTAGTGGGGGAGAAGGCTATTTTGCCGACAGTAACGTAAAACGACTAGGAGCCGGACGTCACACAGAAGTCGGACACAACTGCCACCCAAATGACCAACCAAAGAAAACGTATTATTCAACGAAAATTGACAACAAAAGAAAATCGTTCAACCTGAGAAGAAAACACTACTGCTTTTGTGACTCTTGAGATTAGAAAATTAATTGGACGACAATTGGAGAGTTTATAGGGCTATCAAGAGAGATAATATGCTTACCAACAACTAGAAATAAAATCAATATTAAAAAAATTAAAAACTACTTCCGAGTGCGTAATTGCGTTGAAAGAGCACGGTCTGGGAGCCGCTTATTTGGATGTGAGGGTGTAGAAATTGTTGGTGAAAGGATAGGATAACGGATAAGCCCCGTTTGTGGTGTTGTAACCGGAGCCGGTACTTGGTTAGTTTGTTTTATGTTTTGTTTTAAGTATCGGTTGATACTTAGTTTGTTTTATGTTTTGTTTTAAGTATCAGTTGATACTTGGTTATTTTTATGCTTTGATTGAGTAAGAACATGAGTAAGAATTCATGATTGTACTCAAGAAATATGTACTGAAAAAGACCGCCATCTTCCACTTTGGAAATGGAGACTTCGACAGACAGTATTTTAATATACTCGGTTGAACGGTTATCTTTATTCTCCTATTACACCACCGAAGCCTCCCTTAGCGACCAAGAAGTTGATAGTCTCCG